CTTAGTGCTTGCCTGTGTTGTTCGGGGGACAGAAAGCAACCTCAGTAGGAAATATATATATATATATATATATATATATATATATATATATATATATATATATATATATATATATATATATATATATATATATATATATATATATATATATATATATATATATATATATAAAAAACAGGACCACACAGCAAGAGGAGACGAACAACCAAAAAGGGACAGATGACAAGACACAGCATCTCAGGACAAAAACCACCACATTGAATAAAAGGAGAAAAACCCATTCACAGTTACAGGAAAGTAAGTAACGATCCCTTTTACGCCTTTAGGTGCATCAGGCGTATGGGAGGAGCACCAATATTTTTACAGACTAATCAGCACTAGGTGTGTAGTGTGGTCAGCATTAAACCGATCGTCTTTACTTCCCCAGGACATCTATCATGGTTCCCATTTTAGGCAGGTGCGACTTCCGATGCTCCATACCATGATAAAAATACATGCAGCCAGCGGTGGGTTTTGATCACAGTACAATTGAATTATGAGTCGGTCTTGCAATGCCTAAGCCACGGACGCTGCATTCACAGTTATAGTCCAACTCAAAATACTTGAAGCATAGTCTGGAAGATAGACAGCCACAGTGGATCCCTCACTGTGACCACAGAACCACCATAAAGGACACATACACAATCAGCAAGTACACGATCATGCACATTTAGAAACAATAGGTCACGACTACTGCCACAACAAAACATGTTAGCCAATGAAGTTGACGCAAATAAAACCAGAGCACAATATTATCCAAAGTTGTCGTCAGCAGGGTTGAACATGGTCGACTTTTTTTTTTTCTTGAAGAACCAACAAACCAACCGACGCAGGTCCTTACCTTCATAGAAACCTGGCTAGTGTTGCTATTACAAGTGCTATAATTTAACTTCTCTTATTGATGTTAACGGTACATCAAACAAGTACGAGAATTCACATATCTAGGAAGCATGTTTATGGAGGATGGCTGACTCAGTACAGAGATAGAAGCCAGAGTACCGAAGGCAAATGCTGTCACCTGCCAGTTAGCCCCACTGCTTAGACACCCAAATGTCTCCCTTTTAGCAAAACTGCAAATGATTAATAGCATCTTCATCTCTACTTTACGTCATCAGTGCCAAACATGGACAATGAATAGGACACTAGAACAGAAAATAACTACATGTGAAATGTGCTGTCTCCGCAAGGTCACTAACAACACTAGACTAGACAGGGTTATGAATATCAGCATTAGAGAGAAAGTTAGAATAAGACCATGTCTGGATTATATTGATAGACAGAGAATGATATGGTTCCACCATCTATTGAGAATGCAGCCAGACCAGACTGCATTTGAGACTTTTTTGCAGTAAAACATCTGCTAAGAAGGCGAGAGGAAGACCAAGAAAGAGATGGATGAATGATGTAGATGAAACCTGCAAAAAGATGAACAAATTGATCATTCAGGTCACCCGAGAAGCCTCTAAAATACAGAAAACCACGACACCAGGCTACAACCTGGTATCAGTGAGATGACAAAACTATGACATGGCTACAACCTGTTATGGGTGAGACGACGAAACCATGACACTGGGCTACAACCTGGTATCAGTGAGACAACAAAACCAGGACACTGGGCTACAACCTGGTATCAGTGAGACAACAAAACCATGACACTGGGCTACAACCTGATATCAGTGAGACAACAAAACCATGACACTGGGCTACAACCTGATATCAGTGAGGCGACAAAACCACGACACTGGGCTACAACCTGGTATCAGCGAGACGACAAAACCACGACACTGGGCTACAACCTGGTATCAGTGAGATGACAAAACCAGGACACTGGGCTACAACCTGGTATCAGTGAGATGACAAAACCACGACACTGAGCTACAACCTGGTATCGGTGAGATGACAAAACCACGACACTGAGCTACAACCTGGTATCGGTGAGACGACAAAACCACGACACTGAGCTACAACCTGGTATCGGTGAGACAACAAAACCACGACACTGAGCTACAACCTGGTAACAGTGAGACAATAAAACCATGACACTGAGCTACAACCTGGTAACAGTGAGACAACAAAACCACGACACTGGGCTACAACCTGGTAACAGTGAGACGACAAAACCATGACACTGGGCTACAACCTGGTATCAGTGAGATGACAAAACCACGACACTGGGCTACAACCTGGTAACAGTGAGACGACATAACCACGACACTGGGCTACAACCTGTTATTGGTGAGACAATAAACGAAAAAAGATAATTTAACTTCTTTGAAGGTTGAAAGGGGTATCTGAGATTTGCCTTGTTGGTCTGCCATCAAGACTGAGATTTTTTACAGTCTAAAAAACATTATGTTAAATCTTTAGAAAGCAGCCTGGAAGAAACAAATCGATCAATTAAAAGTTTGCAAATTTGTGTTTTTATTTATTACATGCATTCCTAAGTGGCACATGAGACTAGATTTTTGCACAAACACATATCTTCTATGTTGGTAGTATAGGTTCTGGGGAACTCAGTGAGGGAGAAAAAAAAAAACAGACTTACTGGCCCCCCACCTCAACTAACAAACCCGCCGTAAGGATATCTTTTCAGGAGTTTGCTGAAATCACAGATGCTGGGCTTAAAGGTGCAAAAATCACAGCGTAGCTGTAAACCGATACAGCATGCCATCCACCATTTTTTTTTTTAAGGTGAATGGAGAGGAGGAAGAAGAAGAAGAAGAAGAAGAAGAAGAAATAATTGATAGGAGACAGGCTCACAAAGAGCTTTGATTACCCAGATCAGGAAGCAACAGTAACTACTTTTCTGTAGCCCATTCCTAAAGACATGTTCAACTTTGGTTAAATACAACTGTCAACACCAATGTTTTCTACTTCAGTGAGCAAGGATAAATTGAGGGATCTGCCATGTTGTAGCAGCTGGACACTTGCCTGCAGGTTGGAAGGTCATGGGTTTGAATCCAAACAGATCCGAACTGTTTCTAAAAGAACTTGGCTCACAGGTCGCCCTAGTACCAGGTGGAAGTCCTGGGAAGTAAAGACGGCCGGTGTGATTTTGACCACATCACATACCAAATGCTGTTCGGTCTATTAAATATAGGTCTAGTACTATATGCACAGTATTCCTGAAGGCGTGGGGAAAAAAGTTTTCTAGGTCTTTTCTGGGTAACAGGGGTGCAAGTCTATAACCTCCGGGACATCTCACTGGCGCGGTGAACAGCGAAACGCAACATCAGTCAATGCGTTGCTCACAGAATGGGGCAATAAACAGTGTCATGCCACAGCCTTGTATTTCGTCAGTGTCTCCGAAATAATCTAGGATTAGGTCACACTCCTATGCTCCCGAGCATATAATAATTTATGAATGAAACAGCACGCAGTGCGTAACCTAATTTAAACGTCACGGTTATTGTGAACAGCACCAAAAGTTCTTTGCTTTACATTAACAAAAATAAAACTACATACAATATTCTATTTGAATTACAGAACTCACAATACCCCATATATCAACGTATGTGGGCCTATATGAATGCTGCACAACCCACCGTGTTTGTGAAAACCCATGATGAGGGGTTGAGGCGGGTGAGAGAGTCCAATGGGAAATATGCATACATTACTGAGTCGACAACTATTGATTACGTCAGCAATAAGAAGCCTTGTGACACTCTGAAAGTTGGTGGCAACTTGAACCAGGACAGCTTTGGGATCGCAACGCCAGTTGGTTCAGACTTGAGGTATGTGTTTACATTTGAGAGCCTAATGCAGAGCTTTCCAAACTCTGTATCATGATATATTAGTGTTTCAGCTGCAAAATGAATGTGTGTCACATGAATACAGTTTATGTATGTGCTCGTATCCCTTATAAGTACAGTGATACCTCGGGTCACGAACAAATCAACACATGAACAAAATTTCCGAACACATTTTGACTCAACCTGCGAAAATCTTCAGCTCACGAACACACAAACATGGATCTGGTTCTATGTGAACAGCATCAATTGTACTCATGTTTGCAGGCTGTGAACATTATTTTTGCATTGTTCCTCATAAATTTTTTGTGCTTTCAATAAATTAACCCTTACAGCTCCCATAAAGGTTAAAAGTGTTAGCGACAGCGGGATAAATAGGCTTTAATGTATAACAGTAGAAACGAAGAGGGAAATAACAAAACAGGAGAATTGAGTTCATGTTTTTGATCTCCCCAAGCAGTAAAAACATGGCTAAATCTACGATCTGTAGTTTCTTAAAGAATCAATATGAGCTAAATAGGCTGATGTGGCAAAGGGGGTGAAAAAAGTTAACGAAACACTGGTTTGATTGTTAGAAGAAGTGGACAATTATTGTTAGTTTGGAGTAGCGAAAAGCCGTTTGCCAGACATAGTAGCCTCCCTTTTCCTCTACAATCTATCTCTACCAGCAACTACCAACCAGAAAGATAAAGTAGTACTCCTCTGTAAAACAGCCCCAAATTATCTAGGTCTAAAACCTACCCTTACAGGGCCTCAGTGATATGTAAAATTAGGATGGATTTATTTCCGGCAAATAACATTTTAGTTATATTAAAGGACCTATTAAGGTCCTGTAAGGGTGGGTTTTTGACCTAGATAATTTGGGGCTGGTAAAGTTATACTGTATAAGTGCTCTGCCTGGTGACTTGATCCATTAAGTCCTGTAACCAATGCTCACTCTCTGTTAGTTACACTGTGTCATCAACACATCTCAGACTGTTAGTTATTCTTCTATTGATATTCAGTCTATGCAATTCTTTTACATTTTAAAATGAATTTGTGTATAAGTTAAAAGACAACTTATCACAGACATCAGGAGGAGACAGTCATCATTTTTCGGCCATGTTATGAGCAGAGGGAAAATGGAACATGTTGTGACCACTGGAAAGATCTGTGGAAAGAGGGATAGAGAAAGACAACAAGAGAAGATTCTAGACAGTCTTGTTGCATGGCATGAAGGTGTGTCAGCATACTAACTGATACATGCTGCAGAAGATTGCGGATTGTGGAGAGGCATGATCACCCATGCCAGTCGGCAAGGCACCTGATGATGATGATATAAGTTAAAAAGGCTTGGGAAAAACACACATCTTTGATGTACTCATTGTATGTCTATCTGTTGAAAGTAAATATTGTTGCCACACATAAATCCATTATAAAAGTAACACAGGCATATGCACACA